CTTTGGATAAAAGCCCTATATAAGTGACCATTTACCATTTAAAAAGATCAATGTTCATCTATTCATGTACATTTTATTAATTCATCACATGCCTCAAATTATAGATTTCATTATTGATTGATTGATCATTATTGAAATAATTATGGATATTTCATCCTTCGTTTGTTTCAATATATCTGTGAGTTAGTTTTTTTTTTGTCTAAATTTGAATTTTATTGTTTCGTTAATTTGTTGTTTCCTTGCTTGCTTTGTTCTGTGTCCATCTCTGTGTATTTTACCTCAGTCTTGAGTCTGTCACTAATGAAATGAAATGAATGAAAATACTTTATTCATCCCAGAAGGGAAATTCAATATTGTAAAAGCTCACTTTAAAAAAAAAAAAAATCAATATAACATATATTTTATAAAACAATAATAATAATAATCATCATAATCATTCATAATTTTTGGATTTATTTTTTTTACACCAATAAAAACAACTATTCAGCTGTTTAAGTTGTATCTGGACCTTTGATATTATTCTAAAAACACCTTTATAAGATTTATTTAAAAATTAACGCTTTTATTGTGAATGGCAGCAGGGTTGGGCTGAGGCTCTTATTCTGAAGGGCTGCCCGCTGCTCGATGCGGTAGTGGTGGATAACTGTCATGGCTGCCGGTCTGAATCTGTAGCTAAACTTTCACTTTGTTCTGGAGACACAGCGGTTATGGCGACGTTTTTCGGAGAAGTTCTGTCGGTGTATTCTCGGGCCGTGGAGGAAGACGACGAAGAATTAGAGGAAAACGAAGAAGATGAAGAAATCCGCAGAGAACTGGAGGAGAAGAGGTGAGTGACGTTAGCTAGCTCGATAGCATGGAGACAGAAAGCATGGAGGGATTAGATGAGATTTAGCAAATTAGTTCCATACTGACACAGAAAGCAGTAAAAAATATATTATTTACACGTAAAATCTCCGTGGACTTTCTCCTCACATTCTGAATTTCATTTGTACCACACGTTGATAGACATCAGGTTAAGCTAACTTAGCTAACATGACACATGAAATTTCAGTTATACTTAATGTCAACGCCCCTTTAACCCTCATGTGTCTCTGTCCTTTTCATCATTTATGTTTCACTTTTCTTTTTTTTTTTGACAACTTTACCTGTGTTAGTGAATATGGGATGAAAAAAAAAAATCTGACATTGCACAGAACAATAATGAAGCTCAATGTTGTTGCTTGTCATTGACATGTCCCAGACTCTGACAACAAAATAAATATATGAAATAAAAATAATAATAATAATAATAATAATTAAAACAAAATTTACTTGACACTTATTTTTGTGTTACAATATACATATATATTTTTTGTGTTTATTTTTCTTGTAACACAACAGTGGCATCATGTCAACAAATTGCCATTTAAATGGGTTAAAATCCTGAAAACTAATGCAGGAATATTTGGTTGTTATGATCAGGACTGATGTTGATTTTTTTTTTTGTTGACAAGAACAACCTGAATGTCTTGTTTGTAACTTACTTAAGAAAAAAAAAAAATCTAAAACTGCACAAAACAATGTTTATGCATCAGTCTCAATGTTGTTGCAAATCATTGACATGTCCCAGACTAATTATCTAAAATAATTATAAATAAATAAAAAATATTTACACTGATTATTTGGAAAATAATTCACTTTTTTGTGTTTTTTTTCCCTCATAAAACATCAGTGACATCATGTAAACAAACTGCCATTTAAATGGTTAAAATCTTAAAAACTAATGAATATTTTAATTCAATTCAATTTTATTTCTATAGCGCATATTTACAACAACAAGTCATCTCATAGTGCTTAACAAAGGCAGAAACACCCAACAATCCAAAACATTTGGATTCCCTATAAGCTTCAGCAGTCCGCAGTCTGCAACAGCGGGAAGGAACCGAAAACCCCTGCAGGGGAAAAAAGAACCTCCGACAGAACCAGGCTCAGGGAGAGACGGCCATCTGCCTCGACCAGTTGGGTGGGTGATGGGTCGTATTCTATCAAAAGTGATTCTGGTGAGCTATAGCAGCAGCTATCGGACTGGGATTACGCTGAACTTAGTAGACAAGCTTAAAGATTCACCTCACTGCTGTATAACCTGGCAAACTACTGGTTAAACAAAGCACAAAAACTCTACAGCTGAGTGTTTTGCTCAGCAGCTAACAACAGCAGCGATGACCTGAGCTTTCATATGTTACATTCAACAATAAACATTAGGCCACAATATCGATTGTTATGCACCGACATAATATTATTGTTATTATATTTTTGTTTGATCAGGACTTAAGCTGGTTTAAAATCAAACTCTATGAAAGCCAATAATAGTATTAATATGTAATATTTTTATGGCAATTTTTGACAAGGGCATTTTTCTCCTTAAGGTCGAAAGTGATTTTTTAAATTTGACACTGCACAAAAAATAATAATGAATCAGAATCATTGTTGTTGCTAATTATGAACAATGTAATTATACATTTAAAGAATTATAATCCTGAAAATGAATTAATATCAGAGCTGATGTTAGATGCAAAGTCTAACTTTGTGAAAGTTGATAATAATATTACTGAATAATATTCTTATCCAATTTTTAAAATTTATTTCTTTGACAAGCACAGTTTTATCTTTAAGTGCCTCTGTGTAACTTTAAAATTAACATTTGTGGATTAAAGCACCATATAAACATTTTATAAGATTAACTGATAGCACAGTTTCATTAAACTATCTGAGATAACTGACTTTAATGTGGTTGTAAGTAAAACTCCAATACCACAGTTTCTGGTTTTCTGGGTTGTGGATAAAGCAAGACATTCGTCATCTTGGATTACTGGAAACACTGATCAACATTTTTCACCCTTTTCTGACAATTTATAAAGCAAACAACTAATCAAATAAAATGAACGCATTAATTAACAATGGAAATATTTGTTATTTGCCTTATTTTATATGCAGTTTCCCAGTGTAGTCCAGCTGTTTCCAACCTTGGGGGCAGCCTCTCCAAAGGTTTATGTTAGAAATGTGACAGGTTGTGACATGAAAAATGGTGTAGAATTTTTTTGGGGCATTTTTTTAGAGTCTAATCAACTCTTTGATTTTCTAATGAGTCTTTGCACAATTGGCATTTTTTAAAAATGAGACTGTGACAGCATTAGAGGGAACGTATAGACATATGTGACAACTGGTATTAATTATATACTATTTTTGCTGTAATAGATGCAAACCACTGAATCTACAGTCTTAACTATGTATTGTAGTTTATGACTTTACATTTGTTAGTGTGAAGTGTTAGAAAATCTAAATGTTAATATCTTAGTCAAAAGTACAATATTTTGTATTGGAGTTCAAAATTAAGCTTAAGTACACAGTACTTGAGGTAATGTAGTTACTTTCCTCCACTGCTGACAGCAATTACAACTTCTGCTATGTAAGGCTGAACAATATGCAAGAAAAAAACATTATTATTTTGATAGAAATTGCGATGTAAATGTGGATTTTAGAGAAAATGTTAATTTTTGCTTTTCTTTACCTGTTAAACAAGAATGAAAATGATGTTGAATGATTAATTTTAATGCAGTTTGCACCAATCAGGCATGTTTCTTTATGTCTGGAGGATATGATTTGTACAAAGCATCTTTGTAACACCACAATGCTTTATTTATAATGGTATTTTGACACATTTGACTTTTATCATATTGGAGCTGCAAGTTCAAACATTGGCCATATTGTTGTTGTTCAGCTCTACTGCTGTGACAACATGCAAGTTGTTGGTTTTATTAGGTACAGCTGGTGAAAACTAATGGAGTCTGTTACAGTGGCCCTGCAACAAATCCTCCCTTTTATGAAGGTTTTGTATGGAAAATGTTTTTAGAGGTACATTATCTTTTGTTATGCTGACATGCTTTTCTGTTATTTTCACAAGCCTATTTATATAGTGAGAGTTGTCTGATAATACCTCTGCACAGAAACACCTCTCTGTATAATGTAGAACAGCTTCACTGCACCACAAACTACAACACAAATGCAAAATGATCATTTAAGCGTCAATCACAAAGTCTGACAAACACCACTGACAGTTACATAGATGGAGAGGCAGTGTGGGTTTGTTTCTTAAAGTATCAGCTTTACCTCATTGTTCTTATCATGAGGGTTAGATATTGCATATTTCCACAGTCACAAGTCATAATTGAATTACCACAAACCAGTTGCAACACTGTGAATCTAGGACTTGTGGGAGGTTTGGGGTTCACACAGATTTGCACAGCTAATAATCTTATTTTCGCTACAGCTGTTAATCGAATGCAGCGGCATAAACGGTACATAATTTCCTTTTTCTTCCTGTAAAGTAGGATTATAAAATAGTATAACATTAAAATGAGGTGTACATGTTGCTTACTGTTGCACTCAAATATGGTAAGAAATGTTTGGCACAGTTAGAAGGAGGATGTTTGGTTCATTGTGGCCGTGTGGATTTAAAGGGATTAATCTGAGCAGACAAAGATTTTGTTCATTATAAAGTACAAGGAAGACTTACTTTAGAGACCCACATGAAAATAATTATTTTATTGAAGTAATAGTGGCTTCTTTATTCCTCAGTACTGGTCATGTTGTCCCACAACACACCTGCATTTCTGTCCTTCCAGCTAACTGCAGACACCTGCACTTAGTCCCAGGTGGGATTCGGCAAATATCTTAAAACTGTTCCTCTTTTTCTGACCCACATCACTATTCATCAGGGAGGTTCGTCTGCACTGGAGTCCTGAAGTCTCAGAGGCGCTGAGGTCTGGAAACAAGCTGCAGTGCTCCGACTTCATCCTCGCTGTGGGACACAACGCTGCCAGTAAGTAGCTGCCAACTCTCCTGTATGCTACATCACCTGTGATGGGTCCATTTAACTGCACACCCAATATTATTACAGAACAAATGAATCTTTAATGATCGCTGTCTGGAAATTGGAACATAGTGGAGTCCGATGGCTGTGGCTCTGCTCAGAAGCAGATGATGAACTGTGCAGCGCACAGGATATGGTGCAAAAAAACCTGCTGGTAATGAAACACAGGCAGCAATTAACGACAGGAGGACTACAGCTAACTATTGTTGTTCTTTATCAACTAGTCTGCTGATTATTTGGTCAATTTGTATTTATAGAATGTCAGAAAAGAGCAAAATAATATATTTGTAAAGCACAAGGTGATGTTTTTAATAGTGCTTGTTTTGTCTGGTGAACAATCTAAAGCACAAAAATATTCAGTTTACCATCACAGTGGGCTAAGAAAAGCTAAACTTCCTCACAGTTGAGAGGCTGAAACAAATTAAACAGTTAATAGCTTAATAAAATAGTTTCCAGCAGGTCTGAAAGATTTGGGGAAGATAACTCATTGTAATCTTTCTGTCCAATATTTTATAATATATGTAATATTATATCATTTCAATAGATTTAAAAGATGTGCAGGACCATTATAACATGAGATATCATCAGAAATATGCCTGTTACTCAAATAGAATGGCCTGAATTTATAAAACCACTGACAGAATAACTCTGGGTCAGACCTGCTGCGTAGCACGTATCTTAAATCACCTTTACAATTTTCTAATTGCACTAATTAAAATTGCCATTTTTATTTGAAATCAGTTCATTGTTCAGCCTTGGTTGTCAGTTAAGTTTCTGTAGATCGGTCCGTAGATTAACCCCACTCATTGTTTCAGCTCTAAATGGTAGCAAGAAAAGGTCTGCATTTTTTGTGTATTTCTGTCTTTGTTCGTGTACAAACTATCACCTGCTGGACAGAACAAAACATTAATTCATATAAATATATCAGCTTGGACTTGATATTGTCACCATGTCAAAAAGGTAAACTGAAAAGAAAGACTCCATCCACATGTGAGCGGTTGTTGAATACTGAGAGGATCTGTCTTTGCAGGCTTTCTGTCAGTGTACGTTCTCAGCTCTGCAAACTGGGACGCAGTTGGACATGCATCAGTGTGGAACGAGAGGAGTCGGGCTGTAACTGGGCAAAACAGCGAGGACTCAGCTTGTGTTTTCTACAGACACAAGGACAACCCATCGGTGAGTGACAGCCTGAGCAAAACAGCTCTTCAAAATGTGTCTGCTTTTGATTAGCGCCACAGAAAGCACCTGACGGTTGAGAAACTCAGCCATCATTTGGTTTAATGAGTTTGCTCCTGTTTTCTATTTATTTCTCAAGTGCTATTTACGGGTTTATATAAGAGCACATTTTAATGGCTGTGCCCGGTTTGTTGTCAAACTACAAACGGACGGCAAATGAAAGGAAAAATCGGAATAAATCACGGCTGAGCGTAAGGAATGAAGACGCACAACAGAAATTATAGTTTGTTGAAGTCATTTATACGTCTGCATCAATCGAGCGCTCTTTCAGTCTAGGCAGTGCTGAATCTCACATTATCATAATTATATCATAATTGATCTGATACAGACGTGTTTTTACTGCAGTGCACTTCAAGAATAAAGCGTGAAACCCCGCTTCAGTCGCAAAAGTTGGAGAGGAGGCCATTTCACAAAGGATAAATGAACCCTGGTAATCTAGTGTCTGTTGCATAAACTGTCAGAATACAGAGTTATAACCCAGCAGTTGATTGTGCTTTGAGGTGTGAGTGCGTCATTCGCATGTGATTTAATCAAGATAAACACAGTGAATGGCCATGTTCGATGGCACCACGCTGCAGAGGAAGCTTCAGATTTATCACACGTGTCCTGCTGCCTTCAGACGGCTGCAGGGATTTAATGTAGTGGAGGGCCACCGGAGCAGCTGTGGACAGCAGATACTGCAACAATCACACAGTTTCATTTATAAGATCATTGATTTAGTAAAAATCCCGTTATCACAACCTTCGTTTTCAAAGCTGATTCAGTTGCATTTAAAGATGAGTTTTGGGGGCATTTCTGCCTGATTGATATCATGCGGGGGAGAAAGAGGGAGAATGACATGCAACTAAGGTCTGTTCACACATCATGAAGGTATTTTAAGCCTAGTGAGTGTGAGGTACAGAGCTGCAGGTTCAATCTGTTAATGGAAAGAAAATAATCTGCAGCTATTTTATTTAGTTTATTGTTTTAAGTCAAGCAAAACATTCCACATACTTTTTTCTGTATTTTTTAAAGAGGAAACAATTAACAGACTAATGAATAGAAAATTATGTTTTTATTAATTCATACTAAAAAAATCATGTTTGGTTGTCTAATGCAACCCACGCACCACTAGTTGGAGAGTGTTTATTTTAAATAGTTCATTTACATAATTAAGCATTTGTCCATAGTGTTCAGTTTGTCTTTGTTTGAACATAAAGTTCTGTCTTCATGTCGAGCATCACTCTTCAATTTGATCTGGATTTCCTGTTTTTACATTTAAATATTGTAGCGCTCCTTCTCAGAACGTGTCTCTTACGCTCACATAGTCCCTAATTGTGATCAGATGTGCTGCTTGCACACATTTCCTGTGCTCCACTTTAACCTCTCCCCTTGCAGTCTGTTTGCTCACAAAACTTCCACTCAAGGATTTCTGTGCTGCAAGATAGTCTGACAGTTGAGTCCTTAAGGAAGATACCCTGTTAAAGCAAACGTCCTGAGGAGTGAGTCGCAGGTTCGATTCCCAGGCCGCCACACCTGTACTGCCTGTCATTCCCCAGGTCTTTGGAGGTCCCCATTAGATCTCTAAGACTTCCTCTCTCAGACAACATGGTGTTGTTTTTACCTCAAATTTAGCATGTGGACAGGAGACAGGAGGCCACTGTGAAAAAGGCATTGAGCTGTTCCAAAAATTGTCATGTGGTGTGTATGTCAACTTTTTTTATTCCAGAAGTCATACAAAAGAAATTGAAATCCTGAATTGGGGTATCAGATGGACCTGGTTAGAGGGAGAGCACTAAAGCATAAAGGATGCTGTAAGAAGTAAAGTGAACGAATGCGAGGTGGCAGGAAAATGTCTAGGATGACAACATATCTGGCATCATACTGCGACTGAAATTTTGTTTTTATGCAGAACATCAAAACAAGAACGCTCTCAAATTAAAAGACCACGCTTTTGAATACAGATTGTAACATGCAAAGATAATATGTCAAGATGACGTTTGAACCTGAAACGTCTTTTCTCAGTACAACCAACACATTTATCAGCAACATACAACACCTAAATGAAATCCTCACCTCTCCTACCTTCTCTGTGCTGCACTGGGCATAAAAATACCTCACAGTTGTAACTCGGCCGTTAAAATAGAGCTCCATATGTTGGTTCTGTTTTATTTGTCATTCATTATCATATCAGTACCCTCTGTCTTTGATAGGCCTGTCATGATTCTTACATAATCGCCTGATGGCAATTATTTGAGCTGACTGCCATCATTTTGCATAATCATGTTCATTCATCTGTATAAAAACAGCTGGATGCAGTTAACAGAAATGTCAAATTTCAATCACTGTTTCTACATCGTCCACAATTTGCATCCGCTTCTTTGGGTTTTCAAAGTCTGAGACAGTTTTTCACTTAGTTTTGCTCTGTTCCCATCTGCCTGTGTAATCGGGATTGTTATTTGATCCAACTGACACTCAGCAACTGAGCAAAGATAGTCTAATATTGCTGTTTGACATAACTTCAGACTACATAAAATATGCAGTTTGGAGCCGACATGAGGAGGTCTGCCTCCGACTTTGAATTTCTCTGGTTTAATGGCATCAATCAAGGGTGGGGGGGTGTTTAACATCTAATAATCGACCAACTGCATTACAATGAGCATCTATTGACATTACCGTCATGGGTTTAGTTGCAAAGCCAAACACCACAGTGACAGCACAGACATTTTGGTTTTAAGCCAAATGAAAAAGCAGAGCCCAATAACTGGGATGAGGCGATTTGTTGGATTTGCAGCAAAAAGGTTGTGGTCAAAGGCATTAATACCACTAATCTAAAACTAATAGAGGCATAAAATGAATAGATAAAGACAATTCAATTGTTAAACGCAGCCATTTGTATGAGAATCAATCGTCAGCTAGAATTTCATAATCGTGGCAGCTCTAGTTCTATATTTGTATGTTTATGTCTTTAATTCAAAAATAAAATGTTTGTTGCGTTTCTTTCCCTACAGGTTTTGATCTGCCAAGTGACGTGCTACCTTGCAGAAGACCAGCTTTTTCAATGGACAGAAAAGGTACATTTATACACCTAAACCAGCTGGATGACTGTGTTTGTGTTATGTTGTGATGCAGAGATGTTTAGGGCAACTTCCCATTCTCTGCCTGCAAACCGAGCAGATTTACCACAAGTGTGTTTTCTTTAGGTCAGGAAACCAAAAAATGTGGCAGCAACTTTTGAGGATCTTAAAGTCAATTGTTGAAGAGGCACACATTATGTTTATAACATACAAATATCCAGTCAACCAGTTACATGATCAGGAAGTTGAGCTATTTTGGACAAACAGGAGGATGACAGAGAAAAGTGACTGTGCACTGATGCCAGACGCTGATGCTGGTTTGAGAGATCAGAAACTGCTGATCGCCTGGGATTTGCGACAATGCAGTGCAGAAGAGCATCTCTGAACACACTAAACCTTCAAATCGAAGGGCTACAGCAGCAGAAGACCACGTTCTCAGCTGTAGTGGGCACAGACTCACCGAAACTGGACAGTAGCAGAGTGGAAAAAAACATAATCTGGTCTCATGAATCTCCATTTCAGCTACTGCACACAGGTGTAGAGTCACAGTCTGGTGTAAACAACATGAATCTGTGAACTTGTCCTGCTTTGTGCCAAAGGTTCAGGCTAGTGGTAGTAGTGTAATGATTTGGAGAATCATTTCTTGGCACAGATTATGGCCCTTAATACCCAGTATTAGAAATGTGTATCCTAATGTAGTTGCAGTTGAGTGTACATCGCAAACATTGATTACCACATAATTAGATTGCAATTGTCAAACATGCAGATATTTCTCAGGGTGATCAGCTCGGTAAAGGTGTTCTCTTTGCCTGACTGTGTTCCTCTGTCTGTTGTAGGTGTTTGAGTGTCTGCAGCACAGACAGCTGAACGTGATTGTGCTGTCAGACAGCTCTGTGGCTGATTACAAGACAGCCGACTATCTGTGCAGCAGCTCGGCTCCTTTCCTCCGTTCTCTCCACACCAGTGCTTTCAGTGATCAGCCTGTCTGCCAGCCGCTGGAGCAGCCCAACATAGTTACCGGACTTCCAGCTGCAGGTATGCTCAACTCAAGCGTTTCAAACTCATTGTCCAGCTTTTTTCTTTTCCTCTTTCCTGTTTGCAAACACGCCCAGAAAATAATGGACACTGCTCTGAATGTTTAGAAGGAGAGTGTCTCTTGATGCCAGAACATTCTTTTATACTTATAAAAAGACATTTTGGTGTCAGGTGCTCAATGGATAATCGGTCTTGGTCTACAAATCTGACTACAAACACTGCAAATTTGCATTTAATATTTGGTAAGCTGCAGCTAACTGATGGGTATTTGTTCAAAATGGTTTGATAGGTCTGCCAAATGAAGCAAAACTTGAAAGACAGATTCTTTACATGCAGTTAAAACGGCTTCTTTTGAAGTTTTAGCAGATGTCTAAAAACACAATTAAGTTGCAATTTGCAAGATGTGTTTCATAGAAATCCCTAAACATTTACTCACCATGGATTTCGGAAGACATTTGAATGTTGGCAATAAAGGGATATGGTACGTTTTCAAAGCTAGCTTAACACGAAGGCAGATAAAGAGCAGGACAGTTATCTCCTAAACACAGAGAAGTTATGTCCTTTTACTGTTTGTTTTTACTATTTATGTAGCATGTTCAAAACAACGGCTGCTGAGCCAAAGTGCTTAAAATTAAGGGCTGACTGACTTGAAACAATATCTTGGCTGTAGCCTTTTTTGTCTTATTTTTATAGTCTGAAACTGAAGTAAACTGATAAAGTCCCTGTGTTTTGTTCCATCTATTGGAAACGATTTTTGTTGCCTCAGTCTAATCTATTGTTCTAACTTGGTGCCTTTATTCTCATTTGTATTTTATGAATTTCAATTTATTTTTTTAAACAGGAGACCTGTATGAGACCTGTATTTGTGAAGCTCTAAGCTGCTTCCTTTAACCAAGTGTAGGTGGAATATGTTGCACACATTGCCTGCCACAAAAATAAACATTTATGGTACTTTGTCATCTCATTTTTAACACTTAATATACAGTGTTGTTAGGAATAGTTAAATAATTCTACATGATAAATAGGAGGCTTCAAATGGGCCCTGCGATCTGTGATAGGTGTTGCTTTCAAAAATTAGTGATTGGCCCCTAATATCCTGATTGAGCACTGCTGTCTTATATCTACTGTCTATGTGAATATAATGAAAAAAATAAGATAAAATACTGTCACTGTTTGTTGTTTCTGGTCTCCCAAGTTCTTTTTAAGACACTTAAGGAAAAGTCTACTTCTAAGTTAACATGCTTAGCGCTCACAGCTGTTGCATTAGACCTAATGTTACTCATTCTGAAAGTGACTCATGGCATCTCCAAGTGGCCTCTATATTCAATGGTAACTGCTACATAGTTTGCCAATTATGGTAATGAGGACAAACTATTGGAAGTCGTCTAAGACGATGTGGGATGTCAGACTGGTGACCGCTCTGCTTTGTAGCTGAAAGAAATAAATATTTAAAAGCAATAAAATATGCCTTACTGTGAGAGTATTACTGATTTATATTCCTTTATACTTTAAATTGTCTCCTGATGCCTGAATTCTGTTTTCCTTTACATTAAGGAAGACATTTCCACCATGAACTGGTGCAGAAAAGGCCAAAAATGGTACATAAAATTGACCAGAATGCATGAAATTGGGTATTTTATGTTCAAAATTTCCTGAAATTTCTTGGAAAGGACCCATCCACACCCATGACAACGACATGTATCCCACTGAAGAAAGACCCAGTAGTCTTCGTCTTTTCAGTTACACACAGCACACACATGCAGACTTTCGTCCCAATGTCCGTAAATGAATTAACCAAAACGCTGCAACAGCACGGCAATAGTCTCTTTGTTAGCTAGGTGTAAATGAAAGCATGTAACCATTAAATCATGACATAAAGTGCTCCTTGTATGGACTGAAAATACAGCAGGAGGCCGGTTTGATTCTAGGCTCTTCTGTTGAAGTGTCCTTGAGCGAGACACCGAATCCCAGTTTGCTGCTGATGTGTGTACGTGGGGACAAACAGAGTCGCTTTGGACAAAAGTGGCTGCCAACTCAATGAAATGTAGTGCCATTAGGCTCGTCTCCACTCACCGAGCACTCGTAGTCTTGCATCCTGATTTGGTCATTTCGGTGTTGGTGCACGTAAAGACATTGAGCCCAAACAAACAGAACCTGAGCCCGACGGGCTACGCACCTCACATCAAACTTGTCCCGTCTCTGTTGGGTAAAGATTTTTTTTATTGTGAAGTCGCCAAATTAACCTTGCATTCTTTTTTGTGCTGTTTCATCAGTACTGAACCACTGCCAGGTCCACCGCATCGCCGCTGTTGTTTACCAGTGTTACAGTGATGTCATCGGCCCCGACTCTGTCACCATGGAGACCTATAAGCTTGCACTAACCAAGCTTGGCAGGTCCATACAGGTGAGCTACTTCTCTTTGTATATGTGTTGCAAGCTTTGGAAAAGGTCACAAAGGAAGGATATGCACAAATGTCCAACATCACCAAATTGCTCTTCTGGCTGAACCCCAGTCGATGATGTAACTGCACCTTTTAAAGGGAGGCACTACAGGCAGATGGGGTACAATTTTTACCGAACAGATATCAACGTTAGACTTCCCAAGCTGATTACTTACAATCAGAGAACAATTTTTATGATTACGATTAGTCTGATATGCTATGTTTAAGTATGCATATGAGATATGATGTGTCTAAAAAGGCACTTATTTGCACTAATAATCTGTACATTAAATAAAGACAACAGCCAAATTCTTGTTTTTATTTTGTTGACATATAAAAGTCAATGTTTTTTACAAAGAGAGTTTTGGATATCCCTTTTTTATTACTTTATAAATCACAAAATACTGTCAACAGCCAGAAACAACCAGTTTTAGCCTTGCTTTTTGGACTGAAATGCTCTATAAACTAGGCAATGACTGACCAATGAACAAGGCCCTCTTTAAAAACCTTCAGACTATAGACAGGAATAAAACAAAAAAAGGTTTGGCACATATAAGTGCTACTGAAGTGGAGATTTCTGGCTCAGAGTATGAGGAAAAAACTCATTTTGAGAAAACAACCTTTGAAGATATACATCGCAATTGAAATCTACAGATGCAAAATATTATAAAACCATCTAAGTGTATATTTTGGATGTTTTCTTTCCAGCAGTCTGAAAGAAAGCAGAAGTGAAGTATCTCAAAATCTAAAAATTGACCAGTGCATGAAAGAGCCTGTTTTTGTCTCTAGAGTCTCTCCTGATGGGAATACGGTTGTTATGTTTGTGGAGCTGCTGGTTCCAAAAATGTTCTGTATTCCCATCAGAGTTTTCTTCAAAACAATGTCCACAGTGTTGCTAAACATAGAAACATGCGAGTCACCCGTGACAATTCTGTAGGCCTATGTTTCGCTGACCAATTATTTCAGCTTTGTTTTGGAGAATTCACGTTTTGTGCCTCAGTTTGGCAAAGTGGACGCCTGTAATTACTACAACACCCAAGAGACTCGAAGGCTGTTGCCATGGAGAAGAGGCCAAATCAAAACCGCAGCTAATTCAGAACAAAATGCTGCCAACTGAATCCAAAATGAACCCAGAATTCAAAGGTGAAGTGATGCAAGCAGCAGATTGTTTTCTCAGTTTTCTGTTATCTCCGGTTTCCACCTGCTGACAGCAGGACATGTTACAGTTTTAAGCTTGTGGTTTGATGTTTTAAGCCAAAATACACCTTGTGGGTCATTGTTAAGCTTCTCTCACAGTTTTAGGCTTCAGACACATTTGACTTTTTAATCAACAAAATTTGGAACACAAGTATTTACAGGTGAATGAAGCAGGAGAGTTTGTTTTTTTGCTTTAACTGTGATTCACTTAACATTACCTGAGGCCACTGAAATATCAGAGTCAGTATAAGAGATGAAAATTGAATACATTAATGTCTTCAGTAATGATAAAAACAAATGTGTGTAGATCACACTTTTCTAAACAAAGTCAAAGTTTTTTAAAACACAAAAAACTGTAAAATACACTATCTAATGACAGATGTTTTTGAAACCAGGTGAAGTACTCGAGTTATACAAAATCATAGTTCACAAGCTCACAGGCGCTTAACTGAGTTTTCATAGAATTGTGTGCACATATGCTTGTTTAATCAGTATTACTGTGCCACTGTTATGACGATTTTTCCACTATTTTAATTTCCAGTATTCTTCTCTTTCTCCTCAGTTGGATCCGTCTCCCAGCACTGACATCCTCCGCAAATTTGCCAGAACCACCGACATTCAAAGTAATCTGTACGTCTAAGAGCGTCCATATTTCACACTGTGCAGTGAAATTTAACTATATTTTCATGTGCTAAATATTGTCATTTTTTAAAATAAAGATAATAAGTAAAAAAAAACAAAGTGCCTCTTTAAATTTAATCAGTTTAATGATTTATTTCGATCTGTCCATAAATACTGTGTCATATTAGTTTCCAAAGAGAAGCAAATTCTAATGAGCATGTACCTTTTTTGTTGTTCCAATTTATAATGTGAAAAGTTAGGAATAAATTAAATGCATACTGAGGCAATTACAGTGTGCCTGTATAGTTTGACATGAAGACACAGGAAGAAATTTTAAAACAAGGTCAAAAAACAGTTTCAATTACTTAAAGCAACAGATTTTGTGATGGCTTTAAATCCTTTATGATTCCTAAATAAAGAGTGCTGTTGTTATTTTTTTTATTGCACTTTCTTTCTGGGAAGTCATTCAGTTGGCCCACTGCACTGACTTGCAGTGAAATGTCATGTTATAAAATTCTGCACATATATTCTTGGCTGAACTGTATCAGATTTTAGGATCCTCTGACTTTTACTGTAGCACCACCAGCAGGTCAAGATTCAGAATTTTGGTTTGTGACTAAATGGCGTCTAAACTCATGACAGTCTCGGGCTCTTAGCCAGTGCTTTCTTAAGCATATTTCCTTTATTTGATTGATTTGTTTCCTTTGTTGGTAGTATCAGAGATAATCATCATATGAGTTGAAAACAAGCTCAATTGTAATCTCTTAGGTGATCATTTAAACAATGTCATCTATTAATGATAAGTTATTTTTATGTTAACTCATTTTCAGAGAAACAAAATGTCTTTTCAGGTTAAAACTGTATTTGTTATATAAGTGGGGCCAAAAATAGAAACCTCAGACCTCAATGAGGAATAGGAACTCACAAAGTTGCTGATGTGGTCAAGAGGAATTTCATTGATTACGCTCCTCAGATCATTCGTAACGAGCCAATGGAAAAGAGTTTTGTTCCGTTTGTTCTACTTCTTTGAGGCAGAGAGATGCTGAACAAATTCAACCTTCATCCTAAATGCAATAGTTTGGATTGTATAAATGACAGCAGCAATGTGTTTATTTTTAAGGTCATAAGAGTCAAAGCAGTTTTTTTTCTATGATAGTATACATATTTTAGGTGTGTTCACATCCTTGCTTTCAGTCAGCTGTGCATGCAGTGATGCGTGGTAACATTGAAAGCTAAAGCTGAAAAATCTGCCTCTCCTGTTTCATTTATGTTGTGTTGACTGAAGGCTTTTATAGTCGATCTTTTTAGTCTTCACCAGTAGCTACTGCAGATTTGCATTTCCATTGTGTAAGTAAGACCAAACAGCTCAGGCTAAAATAAAGATGTACATTATTCACTAGTCAGAACTTCCTGAAGTCCAGTACAGCTTATGAACAGTGCAGAAAAACTGAAGACAAGACATAACAAAGGCTGCCAAAAATAGAAATGCTTATTAAACTGTGTCACTGGGATTACTGAAGCATAACACACCTGCTGCTGTGAGCTTCATACATATATTTATGCTTATATAATAAATTTATAGATATTTTAAATGTATTATATACATATATATTTAAGCATGATAAATAATATAAAGCATAATTTTATTATGATTATTATTAATGGATGGAGGGATACTGTCCCAGTGTGTCTATATAATGTATTTCCACAGTGTCCTCCTCACCATGTGGGGGCAGTAAAGCGTCACTGAGCTCTTTGACAAGCTGCAGTCGACTGAAAGACTAAAAGAAGATGAGTGAGCGAAACTCAAACAAACCTGTTGGTGTTTACTGTGCAGAGATTCGAGTAACGGGGAGTTTTTCTCTTTTTCTTGCTTAAATAATGAATATGATATAATTAACTTAACTATTGCTTCAGTATTTATTTAATCACAGCAGCTACATACCGTAAGAATTGCATTAGCTGAAGGTTAGCAACACTTTACGACAGCGAGGCTACCAATGAGTGCTAGCCGGGTTGTAGCTTCAAAAAACGGCAGGAACAAAGCTTCCGTCGACCGGAGAAAGGAGCACCGAGCTTTCAGAGCAAGCAAGGTGCTGGCTGAGAGGAACCCGGCGGTGGTGGCGGTGGGAGCCTGGGTGGAAGACGGACATGACTTCCTGGAGCACCCGAATGTGAGTTTGGCATTTAATGCTAATGAGCGATGCTAGCTTTGAGTGTGTTGCCAAGCTGCTGAGACCGTTAGTGGTTTCGGGGTGTACGAGGTGTTACTAAGTTTAATGGAGCTCTTGTGTTTTGTTGACTTTGAATTTTCCTCCTTTTTGTCTGTAGTAACGTTTAATTATCACCCATAGTTTCAACCCCTCTTGTATTAGTAAATATAAGTGGGATATGCAGTATGTGGACAAATAATTATTTGTATATGTATGTTTTGAGGTTGTGGGCAAATCCACCACAGCAGTGTCAACACCTGTCTGATAGTCTGACTTATTTTCATTAATATGCATGCTGTTAAATAAGCGCTGTGTAAATGTTTTAGTTGGATTATGTTCATAAACAATCAATCAAGATATTGAGTCCTTAGATGAGTGTTGTGATCAAAGTGTACACGTATAATACACACTATAAAACAAACTTCGGTGTCTCTGGTGGACAGACCATGTAACACTGATAACTTACAGATTCTAAACCTACAATAGTTCGCATTTTTGTATTGCATGTTGTTGCTGCTTTTAAATCACCACATACATCAGTGTTGGTTTTGTTATCTGATGTATTAACTAGGGCTGGACCCGAATATAGAAATATCTGAATATTCGGTCATTGTAGTGATATCCAGATAGCAATTTTGATATTCAAATATTCGCCCACTGCTGGACCTCTAGGAGAGAGATCCCATACTCCACAGATCTCCTTATCAACAGTATTGACGACATGATGAACGTCTTCCTCTACAAGTTACAATATTTTTTTATTGTCCAGAGTTGTACTGAAAAACATAAAATGTGTTCTAGTGGTGCTTTGGTAAGTTCTACCAACACCCTGAGTGTTATATTCAAATCTAACCTTGACTATTGTATCTCTGATTATTATAAATGTATATCTGTGAAAATGCAATAAAATAAAAATAAAAAAAAAATATATATATATAAAATGTAAAATCTAGTCTACCAGGAGCCTGTAACTACTGTTGTTCTGGAATAGAAAGTATGGTATGTAGTAAAATCAAGATTTTACCATCGGTACGAGAGAAAAAGTACTTAACTCACTTACTGTAAACTTAGTTTTGGGACCTAAATGAATGTGTTGTAAAGTCAAGTGAATGTTGAGTCCAGATTTCTCTGAGAGTTTTTTGAACAGTCTTTCCATGTCTCGGTTTAGTCTCTTGCTTTGCTAACGGAGGAGCTCCAGGCAGAAAAGAGAAGGGAAAAAGAAGAGAGCCTTCGACGATTTCAGGATGAAGTCCGCCACCGTGTGGCACAGCGAGCTCAAGTCTTCAAGAAAAGACAGCAGCCTCACACACATCCAGTGGTAAAGATCACATCATTAAACCTGACAGCAGGCGCTAATGAATAAGATGATGGGAGGAGAGAGAAATGTTACAGCTAACTTTACAGAGTTGTTTGTCAGTTGTTGTTTTTTTATTGATCAATAATTTACTGTCAGAAAACTTTGCAAAAACCCCTTTTGTTATTTTTCACTTTTTTATATTGATTGTTTTTTCTGATCCAAAATTATAAGATATTAATTTTGTAATGATATAAAACATACAAAAACACAAATTCTACATGTTTGAGAAGCTGCGTGAAGCTTCTGCTAAACAAGCCAATTCCCTACAGTCACACACGAAACATGAAGCATGATAGAGCCCTCTGGTTGGCCATGCTGCTGTTGTCTCCTTCTGATCAGCCTCTTCATTGTAAAACTGTGTGGTTTTGTCCAGGTGACACCTGACAGGAGCTTCCCACAACAACATTATCAGGTCTGGACTCACAGTGTGTCTGCTGGTGAGAGGCTGATGTCTGGCAGGGCTGCTGCTGCTGCTGCTGCACAACACCGAGTGATGGAGAAGAGCTCTGAGGAGGTGAGAGGATGTTATAGTAGTAGCATAAATAAACAACTAAAGTTTCAGCAACTCAGGTTATGTTTCCAGGTTTCAAGTTAGTTCATTATATATATATAAAAGTATCTGTCCGAATACTTTATGGCCATGTGCTGCATTTTGTGGTAATGAGTATATATATATATGTATGTATAAACTCATTACCACAAAATAAAATATATATATATATAAACTCATTACCACAAAATGCACCACATGGCCAAAAAATATTTGGACAGATACTTTTATGTACAAATGGGCGACTTTTCTGTTTTTTCCAAGGCCCCTAAGATCAGATAAAAGAAAGTTCACAAACTAGACAGAGCTCTGATTGTGAGACAGGCCTTTCCCAAATCTCAGTCTTACCCCAAGGCCTAAATACTAACTTAACTACAGTCACAGCTTTAGTGTGTGAAGGCACAAAATGGTGCAAAAACTAGGAATGGGACACGCTATCATGACAGTGCACATTGCTTGTAAACAACACATGCTCTTGTTTACAAGCAGAAAAAATGTCATTTGCAGTTTAAGCAGCTGCTCAATTGATTAGTCCCAGTTTGAAACATGTTTATGCATTTTAGCAAACTATGGAAAGCCATGAACGTCTACAAATCCTGTGCGTCACTAAAAATACAAACAAATATACAAGCATGCGATAATTAACTGCAACAGCGAGCAGATTTCTTTCCTACACTGTCCAGGACTACCACATTTATATGTAACCAGTTTCTCTTTGAACTGTGGGTATTTCACTCAGGAATGTCTGCAGATATGCAAACTCACAGAAACAGTCCAAAATGGTATCCAGAAGTCCTCATCAGAGCCCTAGTGCACTTCATGATTTGACAGTGGGACAGTCCGTGAGCACAGAGGTTGTGATTGGAATGCAAAATCTGGTAGAAACTTTCCCAGAACAGTAGAAACTCTTATACCTGTCGATTATTGCCTGTGATTTTGTTATGACATGTTGATCAGACACTAGTGGGTGTAGTTTTGGGCTCAGACATTTTATTGGGATGTAGGTGAATTACAAACAGTGTAGCTGTTGCATAGTTTCCTGCTCAGGTCTCATATTTTTCACAACATTTATTAACCAAACTTACAGATTCTTATCAAAAATGCTTTATTTAGCTAATATTTAAAAAAACAGGTATGATTGATATTTTCCTCAAAGGTTTAGCTTCGTTGAGACGTTAGTGTCTCTGTGGACGATCAGTCTGCCCACAGACACTTTTAGCTCCGCAAAACACCACACTCTGGACGCAAACATGTCCTGTATCATCCGTTTTATGTGGTCTGATTATTTTTTTGAAGCAGTGTTTGTTGTTGTTGGCAGCTAGAATGATTGCACTGTTTCCTTGTGTGACTAATAAAATAATGTGACCGTGATTAATCTGCATCAGTTTTATTTATTTCCACAATTTTCCAGTGGAGCGGAGGCATGAGGCAGGTCAGACTCAGACTGGCTGCCTGTCGGATGATCCCACATGAGGAAACGACGTCAGAGCTTCCTGGAGGCAGATGGAACATCTCTCCTACCAGACATGTGAGCGTCTGTTGTCTCACACTTGTTCCTCTTTTTAAAACACACAGTTCCTACGAATCTTGCACATTTAGGTTATAATTAAGAACGTTTCCCTCTGCGCCCAACAGAAAGCTGAATCTCATGTGCTGGAAGGAGAGGAGGAAGGTCTGGAAGAGGAAGAGGAGGAAGAGGGAGGCGATTCACTCTTAATCAGCCAGCATGAATGTCCTCTTGTTCAGCAAAAGGTGACTGAATTCTCAGACTGCAGCATTTGTGCATTTCAAACTGCGACCCATCTTTGTTGCTTCTGATTTCAAAGTTTTTCTCTTCTAAATTCATCCCGAATTCATGACATGAAGACATTTAGACATGGCCATCTCAGCTACTGCTTATACAAACAGTTTTCATTTTATTGCAGTGGTGCTTTCTAACATGTAGGGATGTGATATATACAGATACATGATCCACATATAAACAGAAAGTGGATTCTGAACAGATGTAAACATTATTTGTATTTTTATATTAAGATACCTAAAAAATACCCCTAGTCTCAGTCATAATTCAGTCAGATTTATACATACAGAAAGACTTCGTACTGTACACATTCAGCAATCCAAATACTATGATGTGATTTATATTGAAAATATTCATCAACTTCACTGGACTGTTTACATTTAATTAAGTAAGTCCTTATAAGTAGATCCTCCAGACACAACGGCAATATGACATATGGCATATGAGGCAGATAACATTTAACATAGCATATATGAAAGGTTATTAACAATAATAAATTACTTTAATAATATCTAATATTTGATCAAGAACCTCCTCAGTGCAATATATAAATACAGTCAGCGTCTGAGCCTCCAGAAATCCATGCAGCAGTAACATGTTTATATTTATAAATGGACACCAGCAGCAGGTCATATTGGTAAATGAACCTGGTGATATATGTGCATACGTGTTTGTTTACACTAAATACAGTGTTCAGTGTGGCCACATAATTAACTTTGGGCTCACCAGACCATAAAAATCCAATAGACCAAATGTCATGTGAGTTATGAAGAGTAGCTGTGTTCCAGTTTAGGGGCTAAACCCTCAAACTGTGCAGCTCACACAGAGGATGTAAAGGCAAAATCTAAAGTGTCTCCACATCGCTATTGTCAGCTAATAAGTACTTTAAACTTTTCGAACACAATATTGTCTTTAAACAGCTCACGGAGCATAATTACAACTGTTAAACTGGGTCAAAAGTTGTATTATTCCAGCGTTTACAGTATGAGCTGTGATGTTTCACTTCACATGATCATTATGATCATGACACGAAGGACATGTAGGAGGTTAATGATAAATATATCCATATAACTTCCCTCTAACATCTGGTGATTCACTACATGTTCAGGCTGCTCACAGGGAACAACAACACACAGTGCAGTTTGTGTGTCTTCCTTTGACTACATTTGATTTACTAGCAAAGCTTCTGTGACGTTTTTGTCAGGAAATTGATGAAGCAGCTTCAGACCTATGAGACAGAATTGGGTTTCATATCAAGGTTGCGTTATGAATACTTACACCGTCAGTTTTTATTAACGTTTTAAGCTGCTGCAGCTTCATTTGCCTCAGATTACTTTGCAGGCAGAACTCAGAGCGTGACCTCAATCTTAATCTTTACTTTCCATAAACTGCAGATAAAGGATCAGGCTGCAGTATGTTTCTGTTTCTAACAAATCACACAAAAGGCCAAAACAACAGTGCATCTCCTAATGTATCTGACTTACCCAGACTGTTACCCACGTCCTTTTGTTTCTATTGCTAATTTATAAATTTCGAGCTCACAAACGTATAGTTTTATTTTAAATGTAGGATTAGTAATTTTCCTGGAACAACCAGATACTGTAAGAGTCTTAGCATTACTCAAACGGGAACAAGCCATGAGTTAAATGTATTAGTGAGTATTTACAGCAGCACTTTATGTTGGACTGACTCAAACTTAACTGCAGTGTGTTCGTCATAGTAAAGGAAAATGCAATGATGGTGTTCACTGATGTATTTTTTCATCGTCTTTTTGGACAAAGATTAAGCTCTGCTGCACGGAGAATAGGATACATAGCTTTAGATATGCAGGAAACACTGGATAATGAAGCTCATTTGTTTATGAAGTTGTCAACATTAAAATAGAACACATCTATTAGAACACAAGTATGACCATTGCTGAGGTCTAATTAACAATGGTAGTTTGTGTTTTTTAATGCTGCTATTGATTTGTGTTATTGATTGAGTTTGTGCTGTTGGCAGCTTAGTGCATATATATCATATACTGATTAGAGCTCCGTCTAACTGTGTTGTCTAGGCGTACTGACTCTGTTCTATCCGTGTATGTGTTTCAGGTAGTTGGACGTGCTTCGTGGAATCCTGACAAATTACACCCTGATCCGGTTTTGAAATCCAAACTCGGCGCCCCTCGCGTTCTGTGGCCTCTGAATGACCAAGAAGAACTGAAAAGACAGGTAGACGTCAGATGTACTGTGTGCATGAAGCTGTGACTTCACTTGTTCCAATCCTGTCAGACAATGTTTCACAGATCGAACATCTGTCTCTGCAGCGTCAGTCTCAGTTCCTGATGCACCGCCGTCTGGTCATGAGCAATGAGAGAGAGCAAGTGAAGGAGAACAAACAGCACAGGAAGCACCTGAAGAGGACGGCAAGGTGACGAGACTGCTGCATTTTCTCCTGTATCACTTCCTCGCGTTGGAGTGAATGTTTGATGGAAGGGATTTCATGCATGTGTCTTTCAAGTACATCTTTGTAGGTTTAAATTATAGCTGGTAAGTGTTTTTATGAAGAATCGCAGCTTCAATTCAGCTCAGTTGTTGAAAAGAAAATATTAAAATGGAAAATATTTTAAAAGATGTCAAAGTTTTTCAAATCTTACATCAGATTTTAGCCACATTTTAGCTGAAAAGTGACACTGTTTGGATTATATTGAGCATACAGAGTATCTAAAATATATGAATACAAACTACATGTATAATGATTCCTGCCTTTCTCTCCCTGACAATCTCCTCTCATATGTCCCTGTACTCACTGAAGGATTAAAGCTGAGAAAGAACAGATTCGTCTGGAGGAGGAGAGAAGGTTGGAGAGAGATCGGCAGCTTGCAGAGGCCAGACAGAAGCTTGAGGAGAGAGAGCTGCTGATTCTGGAGAGGCTGAAGCTGGAAGAGGAGGAGAGAGCTGTGGAGCTGCAGAGGAGAAAAAGAGAGGACAAAGGCAAAGTAGCTGCAAGGTAATCAATGGAGGTTCAGTTGTGAAAGTTTAAATGGGGACTCCACTGGTTTTACATATAAAGGTCTTTCTGCAGGTCTTAGGGAGAATTCTACATATATATTACTGCAGCATGCAAGTCATTTTCAGGGCAGATGCTAGCAATATGTCCCCCCCCCCAATATTTAGACTATGAACTTTTGTCCCTCCAAATAAAAATCTGGGAAAAAAAAAACCCAGAAGGCCTTGCATTTTGAGAAACCGCTATGTTTATTTAATGTGCCTGGATTTTGTGGTGTCCTTTACATAAATAAGACATTTCCAGCATAAATTGATGCAGAAAATGCACAATTTGGTGCATAAAATTGATACTGATACTTAAAACTTGCTAAAGGGGGACGTCCAGACTCCTGCATTATGCCATCCCTAATGTTTAAGTGAAATCTACACCCGTGATCCCCAGGGAGCTGTGAGAAATTAGGGTGGATTAGCCTATTGCTTGTCTCTGCTTGTTACTGTTAGCTGTTGTCAGCATAACACGCCAGAATCTCAGCCTGAACTGTAGGCAGTCCAGTTGTGGGTATTGTAGGTGCCATGTTTTGACAAGGTAGAAGAATATGTTCAGTAAGAAAGTCAGTCTGTGGTCCAGCTGCATCCATTTTGAACCATTTCTAACTGACCATGTTATAGAAGTGCAGAACTGCTGTTTTACCAGTGTAGTTACCACCATTCCCATCTGTGCATTTTTAGACAATTCTTTTCCCCTGAAGTATTTTCTGCCTCATCCTGAATGAAAATTAGTTGCACTAAATAATCAACCCAACATGTTCTCCATCTATGTCAGAAAATACTTTAATAAAAGTGCTCATGACATTTCCTCATTAAAAACCTGAACTACTTCAGCTGGTTTAGTCTGATGTGAAAGCCTTCATTAAAAGTCTGGTCATGATTATGGACTGACTGCATGAAAACCTTTTCAAGTGAACTCAGATGCAGAGAATGTGGACAAGGCTGTCAAAAAGAGTCTCTGTATCCTTTAGGTGGACTGTTTAGTGTTGTCCTGTGGAACTGGGTCTCTTGTGGCGTGCCATGCACTTTGAGTGGGTGTTGTCCGCCATACAGTCATAAATAAAAGTTTACATACACTTGTAAAAACCGTGTATATCAATTCAGTCTAGAATTTCCAATGACTCTTAAAGCTCTAAATTTTCATTGATAGATGTACATCTTTGTCCCAAACACAGGAAAACATCTGGCACATTGGTTCTTTCATAGATTTATTACAGGTCTTCTGGAAATATGACAAAAGCTGCTGGGTCAAAAATATACATACAGCAACAACCTGCTTGCTGCCATGCATGTCATCCATTTACTCATCCTTTGAGGTTTAGTTCCTCTTGTGGACTTGAGCTTTCTGTGAATGAAATGTAGCGACGTGAGTCTGCTTTTTCTTTTATAATTGCCATCACAGTCTCAATAACTCTTAAGCAGGAAAGAGCAGAGAAAATACAAAAGCTTGGAACAAAGAAAATAAACACTAAGATGCTGAGCTACATGTGTCTTATATTATCACAGAACCTTTCTGTTTGGCATAATTTATGGTAGGTACTTTGTCGTGGATTTTATACTTTACAATTTATGAACATGGCAGATTTGCATGGATAACAGACGGTTCCTCCACATTTATTACAAATTACTCGAGGTCCCCAAGTAATACGAGTCCTGTGCAAATAATGTTTAAATGGCTTTGTGAAGCTGAATCTGTCATGATAAACAGGCTGATTATAACTCTGCAGGTTTATTGATGCTCTGAGAGCTCAGATGAAGGAACGACTATCTCAGGCGAAGCTGGACCTTCCTCCTCTCTGCTGCTGTGCTTCTTCTTTCTGGGACTCTCATCCCGACACCTGCGCAAACAACTGTGTCTTCCACAACAACCCCAAAGGTAATGACTGCACATAGACATACAGCCACCAGCCTCACATCCCACCACTCAGCTGTAACAGGACAGTAGGGACGGTAACATTTGTCTCATCCACAGCTTATGCCCAGGCGCTACATTCAACAATGGTGAGTTTGGACTTACAGTAAAGGAAGCTGATGGAAGCCACCTGATTGAATCAGCAGTGCACCATTTTGGGAACAGTGTAAGTTTCCAAACCCACAATCAGATGAGAAGATTGATGTAAGGTCTGTTTCTGTCTGTCCAGAGCAGCGGTTAGTCCAGGAGATGTTTAGCCTCCAGACTGAAATATTTAGCGCATATTCAATGTTTTGACATGAAATTTGTAGTCTTCATAGGTTAAATACAATTTATTTTGCTGATTGCCTGATGTGTCATCTAATGCTACCAGGAGCCCGAAATGTTTGCTTCTCCCGTAAAATATGTCAACATTTGCAAGATGGTTTGGCACACAGTTCAATACAGCCATTGATGATGTATCCTAATGACGCTGGTAAACCCCTGTCTTGGCCTTTGGTGCCATTATCAGGTCAATTTCCTTTTTGGTTTATGATTAAATATCTGGAAAATTATTTATCTTTGTGTGTAGTCCTGATTAGCAAATGTGCCTAAAGTGCAACCTTACAGAGCCTCCAACATGGATGTACATGCTAGATGTTCTTCGACTGTTTGTAAAAAAAAAAAAAAAAAAGAGCTATGCAACACTATTTGGTTTTGTTTAAATTTTTTTTTCTTTACCATTTTATACAACCCTACAAGAGTTGCTTTTAGTTTATTTATTGATAATTAAGAGAAATTTACATGATTTT